CTTGACTTCAGGACACCATGATGGCAGGTACACAGTCAAAATAGCCTAACAGTTTTAAATTTATGTCCACTATATCTGCTCCTGTTCAACATTCCCTTGCTTCACTAGGGTACACACTTTAGAAATCCTGCCATAATCCTTTCTAGCATTCTGTTTTCCCTTACATTTCACCTTGAGTTTTTAAGAGTCTGTGGACTTTGGCCCTCATCCCTCATTATTCCATCAATTGAAAGAGAAATATTGTCCCAAGATCAGTTCAGGTAAGGCCTTCCAGGACAAGATGTCCTGTTAATGGTGTTTTGGGGAACCAGCAGCACATGAAGAGGACTTCCGGKTGGCTGGAGTTGGTTTGTGGGCCAGGAAAAGAAAAAGGCCCTACAGAGAGACGAACACCCAGGAGCTGGAATCAGGAGTCTGACCAGCTCTCCAGGCTCCAAGGAGCAAAGTGAATGAGGCTCTTCAGAATAAATATGTAGAATTGTGGTCAAAAAGTGTTCCAAAAAGGGAGGAAATAATTATTAAATTGAATTTCAGACCAAACAAAGCAAACTTTCATTAGAGATTATAGATATATGCATATAAAACTTGGATACATGGATTTTTCTGAGTTTTGAAAAAGGCTTTTTAAAAAGGTGGAGTTCTGACTGGGTGTGGATTCTGAAAGTTAAGAGAAGACAGGATGGTTGGTGAATGAGCTGCGGTGATTCTGCACTGAGTCCCGTAGCTTCATTAAGCTTTCAACACTAAAGTTCAATCACCATCAGTTATTACTCTTAAGATAAATCTCACTCTAACTTTTTCTAAACATAATTAATTAACACAGTTGTTTAAAGCTTCAGGGTAACCCTCACAGCCTCTACTACTTTACCTCCAGGTTCCTGCATTTCTTTCATAAGCCTTTCAACTACAATATTTCATTGCATTGCAAAAATACAGTAATCCACTCCGTGCAGGCCAGGTTCTCATGGGCAATGAGGACGCAACTCCTGAGGACACTACGTCCCAAGAACTGCTTTACACATTTTCCACAGCATTTCCTCCTTACCCACAGCAGCAGCATAGGGACATSGCTTTTTTCTCTTAATAATTTGATATTATCTGGAGCTATAATCCTCCAAAAAAGAATGATATATTTCAGAATGGTAGGAAAAGGCTGGGGAAAAAATAAGGACTTTCAAGGTTCTCCAGGCCATGTTCAGCAAATAAGCATCTATTAAACGACTGAATGGTGCAATATATGTTGACAGGCTAAAGACCATGAGGAATACAAAAATGGTATGAATAGTTCATGCAAGAATTAGGAAATACATGCATACAGAACCAGAGAATAACTTAGGTTAAAATGAAAAGCTGAAAGAAAAGAAAAGTCATAAAACTGTGACATTCATTTTGGTATATTTGGCACAAAGATCACAGTGGGGATTCACTAAGCATTGGATTGTTGAATAAGTGAATGGAATTATTGATTAAAGAAATGAAATCGATTAATTAAATGGTAAGTTTTTCAGTACTGACACAGACTAGAGAAAGAAGATGCATTATGAACTGAGCACTAGAAAGATTTCCCAAGTAAGAAGGGATCTGAACTAGACCTAGAATAATGCAAAATATCTGATCGCTCCTGGGGAAGATGGGAAGTCACCTGGGGTGGAAGGAAGACCGTGGATAGGCACAGGGTTGCCTCCTCAGTCTCCTCTCCCAGCTCCAACACCTCAACCTTCCTCTACTCCTGCTCCTTAAGTGCTGTRCCCTGAGCTCATGTGTTCTGTTCTTATTCACCCTCCTCCTGAGTTCAGCCCAGCTAGTTCTCTGAAGTCTTGAAGCTGGTACAGATTCTGTTACAGCATCTTTGGTTTAACCAGGAACKCCTTTGTCCTTCAGTGCAGAAAAACAGTGCTTGTCCGATATATGATTCCGGTCTTTTGCAAGCAAAACAATAAATTATTCTAAATGAGGCAAGAATTGTGATGGATATCTTCTCCCAAGCTGCTGTGAATTTCTGGCCTTTAGAGAATTCCAGGAAGATGTTCCTGGCAGGTCCTCACACTAACCCTTCAATTCTCCTTGTGCCTCTGCTCCAAAATCAGGGCCAACGTGAACACGGCCTTGTCAGACTTTTGACAGGCCCTTGAAACAAAACCTTAGGCTCCTCCATATGCTGGGGATTTGCTGCCCAGGCCTAGGAAGCTATCTTCTAATTCAGGTTTTCTGAACACTTCCAGTGTGGCTTCTGTCAGAGGCTCCTGGAATCGGAGTAGCTTTGTAATTTGTCTCATGATAGGTAAGATGTTACCCGAACAAAACCATGAACTAGTTAGGTTTTTAGAAAAATCTTTCCCCTCCATTGTGTGTGTGCACGGGGGGAACCATTGGTGGTGGTATTCTTCCAATGACAGGTTGCTTTCTTTACTCAGAAAAAGGCTCCAATAACATACCATTGTGTTTCAGAGGCTGTCCACTTTGATTCTGCTTTGATGGGGACAATATGAGACATCAGGAGCTGCGCACAGCAGCRGATCTGCTTTTCCAAAACAGCTCACTTTTGTGTTGAGAAGAGTGGTTTCACTTGTGACAGGGTTGAGAGACTACTTTCTGCTCTGTTCCTGCTCCCTTGAGCCAGCAGCACCGTCCTTGATGGAAAAGACAAGCTGCCAAGCTGCTGCACTGTTATCTCATGAAAAAGAAAACTGTAAACTCTATCAACATTACAGGGCCTCGTATTTCCAAAACAGTGTTCCAGCCCTTCAAGAGCCAGCAAGCACACAGAGGATACTAAGAAAGGAAGGAACAAGGACRGGGTATAAAAGGTTACCTCGCATGACAAGGAGTCAGATGGAAAGGACCAAATCCCGCCATGAAAAATTCAGTATTGAGGTTCTAGGGCCAGTCTTTGAGTAAAAATGTTCCAGTGAGGGCTGAAAGTTTTTCTCCCTGGGTTATAACTGAAAGTTTTTCTCCATGGGTTTTAAAAATCCTTGGTCTATGAATCTAATGTTTTGGTGGTAATATTATGACTTTTTTTCTTTTTTTTTTTTTTTTTACCAAATGTTTAAAAAAATAATAAAACCCACACTGTCCTAGGAAGAGAAACAATCAAAATTCAGGGAAAGGCTATCTGGATCCGAAGGAGGTATTTTTTCATTACCAAGAGTAAATAAATCACAGGTGTTGATTCTACAACTCTGAGTAATGCCACTTCCTGTCTGGGGTATCCTTCCCTGATTATGAATTTTGAGTTTTATTTTTCAGTGCTGGGGACAGAATGTAGGGCCTCACGCATGCTAGGCAAGCACTCTACCTCTGAGATAGACCCCCARCCCTTTTATGTTTTGTTTTGAGCCATAGACTAAGTTGCCTGGGCTAGTCTCAAACTTGTACTCCTCCTGCCTCAGCCTCCTGAGGAGTTGGGATTGCAGGTGTGCACCACCACATCCAGCCCCTTTCCTGGTTAAAGAGGGAAATATGTCCCAACACTTGTTAGGCCCGCTTTCCCTGAAGTTAGCAGATTTCCCACATGAAAGCTCTGCGTGTGTGCCAGCCTTCCACCAAAGGAGGAGCAGGTTCAGGACCTGGCACTGTGCAGCCGAGTGGCACTGCTCCCAGAACTCTCATCCAATAAAGAGCCATTGTGGGATCTGGACCCTTCAATGTACAGGACAAATGACTCAAATGAATAGGCACAATGCTTGTGAGTGAGACCCGAAACTTGAATGGGGTGGTAATCACTTCCTCCTCCGAACAGACCACAGTATTTTCCAGGGAACTTCACTCTGTAACGCAGTCCTTGCCTCGTGTAATAGTACCGATTTCCATTTTGTAGTTGATAAGTGAGCATGATTACTGTGACAATCATTAGGCAGTGAGTTGCTAACACGGGGGGGGGGGCGGGGGGGCAAGAGAAGTGGAAAATTGTTTGGGGAGATGGGATGGGATTGGCATTCCTCGGGGAGAGACAAGAACATGCAGAAAGACAAGAAAGTGCTGTATTTGATCAAACAGACTGTGATAGGTAATGATGTAAGGAACTAAATTGGACCTGAGGCTTCAAAATAACTATGATTTCACCATAAGAATGACGTAGGAGGCACAAAGTAGGGCTGGGGGCGTTCAGTCCCCACTCAAGGTATCCACTGAGCAGGTGGCACTCAATTGAGGGCTTCCAGTCCCTGAGGCTATAGACCTGGTTCTTGACCCACACATGAAGGGGGCTGGGAGGAGTAAGGGTGTTAATTCAGCCTTGAGCCACCCTTGCCATCTGGGTGGCCTGTGGTGACTCCATGCCACGGCCAGCCTCACTGTAGAAAGACAGAAAAGCAAAGCCGATCTGTTGCCCCTCTCAGCTAAGCTTTCTCAAGTGCATAAATAGGATGGGACAGCAAGAGTAGACTTCATGGGCAGGTGAAAAATGCTCTTGCTGCTGCATTCCATGATGCTCAGTTTTAGTAGCTGGTTTATTTAAGCTAATTTGATCAATTTTAACCAGAAACATGATCTGTCTCAAATAACTGTCTTTATTACCTGGAGTTGGAAAYGGTCATAATTTTTCTTCTTGGTGTTCCTGGGGTTGGAACCCAGAGCTTTGCACATGCTAAGCAYACACTGTACCATTGAGTTGCAATCACCCCAGCCTACAGATCACAACTTCTTATTAGTGCCTCTAGGTCTGCTTACTTCTGACATGCATAACTCTCAATGAATATATATTACCTACATCCACCATTTTWAATTTTTTAAATCCCTACATCTGCGAAAGGATGCGCATGTTTCAACCAAAAGGCCATTTGATTGTCTGCTATCATTTTCACTTTTAATATTTGACTAACATTGTTCTAGCTTCCCAAGAAACTCACAATGATGATGGGTTATTTTTAAACATGCATAATGTCTTTCCATTTATGACAYCATGACCTTGGAGTGGGTAGGTCATATCTTGCTAAAAAGTACAAACAGGTATTTTTTCCAACAATCCAGTATTAAGTTCTCACATGTCATCAACTCACCAGAATTAAGCAAAATGATAGATTTGAGGCACACAAACTCCTCTCCCTGCAGATTCATCATACGGAACCGGGTCGACGTAGCCAGCAACATGTCAAAGATCTCCACCATGCCCTCTACACATTTACCCTGATTCCTACAAAAACAAATTTTTAGAAGCATTAAAGGACAGGAAAGTTTCTGCAAAACCCCAAATTACATTTATAAAAAGCTACCGACTCCAAATCTGTAATAAAAACCTGCAGCCCATCCTCTTAATGGAACATGGACATTCATTTGAATTCCAGAAGGCAAGATGAGCAAAGATTTTTCCATCAATAAACATCTTCACTTCAAATTCCTAGAAAAGATGTGTTTAGTTGCCAAATCTACGACATTAAATGTGGAGTTCTTCAATCTATAGTCATTGAAAATAATTAAGATTCCGGCCATTTTTTTTTCTAATACAGTTCATTGTTCTGTTACTRTATTCTAGATATTGTAGTAGTTATGAGAATAAAAGGAGAGGGTTTGCCCTCAAGATGCTCGTGACCTTCAAGTAATATACCAATGTGCCAAGAAATTTACTATGGTATGAGTCTGGGCTGGATCATTGGTGTTATAAAGGACCGTGGGGAAGAATGTACCTAGGAAGTGACATTTGAGTTAACCCTAAGAGAATGTAGGATTTCCTCAAGTAAGTATATGAATGCATAACTAGAAGAAAGTCCTACACACAATGAGAGCAGCAGGAGAGAACATAGAGTGGTGGCTGTAGGTGATGAGGACACAGGAGACGAATCCAGGAAAGTAGGCCTGTGTAGCTGATGAAGCTTCTCCTAGACCCTCAAAAGAAATTCAGGCCTTCTCCCCTTCCAACAGAAACTTGGCATCAAGGATTTCACCTCAGTGGTTGCAACTATTAAATAAGCAAATTCAAAAGGTCATGAGACGTAATATTTAAAAATGCACACGGCCATATCCTATCCGTGGGGCTGTTTCAGAAATAAAGAGAGATACCATATATGGAAGGAATCCATTCATTTGAAGGCATGATATGTTTGAAAATTTTAAAACACAGAAATAAGTTAAAAGAGTCTGTGCATATTCAGTCATTTGTAAAACACATAACATTTAAACATGAGCAGAAACATAATTCAGGACTTCATTTTGTCTTTGATTAATAGATCCTGGAGTTCTTTCTTAACCCAGTTTAACAACTGAACAGTTATCACTGAACAGAATGCTATACAATCATTTGTCACATAATGATGGGGACACACTCTGAGAAATGTGCTGTTAGACAATTCTGTCACTGTGTGATCATCATAGAGTTTAGATAAACTAAGATGGCCACAATGTCACTAAGCAATATAACCTTATGGGAACACCATTATACAYGTGGTCCATGGTTGACCAGAACATTCTTAAGTGGTATATGACAATTTATTTATCCACCTCTTTTTTAGTTGATATCTAGCTTCATTCTAAGTATTGTGCTGTTACAAACATTTCACAAAATGACAATCCTGTGTTTATGCCCTTGGACACATATAGATAGCTACAGAATACATTCCTAGAGTTAGAATCGCTAGAACAAAGGACATAATATATTTTTATTTATGATAGTTAAAATATTGGTTTCAAAGAGCTTGTACCAATAAGCTATTGGTAGAATATTTTTTTCCCCTTATTCTGGCTATTGAACCCAGAGCTTTGCATACTAAGCATGTGGTCTACCACTAAGGTACACCTCCAGTTCCATAGGAAAATATGTTGACATGAGATTTTTCTCTGAACTGCCTGCTGTAGTAATTTGCCCACATTTTTCAGTTGGGTTATTGGTCATTTTCACCTTGAGAGAGAGAGAGAGAGAAATTTTTTAATATTTATTTTTTAATTTTCGGTGGACACAACATCTTTGTTGGTATGTGGTGCTGAGGATCGAACCCAGGAGGCACGCATGCCAGGCGAGCGTACTACTGCTTGAGCCACATCCCCAGCCCTCCATCTGATTCTTAGGAGATATTTATATATGATAGTAATTAGTGCCATGTCATACATATTTCTAATACGGTTTTCTCATGGTTTGTCATCTTTTAATTTTGTTTCTGGCGTTTTCTTCCTAAAACGATTTAATTATTGTAGGATCAGATCTGTCAAACTTTTCATTTATGGCTCTAGAACACTATGTCTTGCTGGATAAGGTCAGTCCCCATTCCAATAACACATAAATCTTATGTTTCCTTTCAGTAACGTTCTATGCTTTTATGTTTAAATTTTTGATTTTCTGGAATGTATTCATTTTTTATAATGACTTTATTAAGAGATACCCACATGCCATATAATTCACCCATTGAAAGAATACAATGCAGTGGATTTTGGTGTATTCACATAGCTGTGCTACCTACCCTCTTGTGGGATTTGTTTTGGTGTAGTCTTAAGATAGGATTCAGCTTAACACTTTTTTCAGGTAGCAAGTTGGTGTCCTCAACACCATTTGGGAACAAACCACCGGCTTGAGATACACTAGGGACTCTTGATTTTCATTTCCAGAGTGTTATTTTTCCTGTTGTCCAAGTAGTAGAATTAGGACTCTAAACTTTCCTATCCAACCACACTGCCTACATACTAGAAGGAAGAATCCTAACAGAAAGATTTTCTTTGTCTTCCTTTCTTTAATTCAAAATTATGAGGATCTACTATTATACCAGTCTTATGCTCGACATTAGGGCATAGAGAAGAAAACAATGGGAATCTTAAATGAAGAGGTGAAAATTGGGAGCATAGGTGCAATGACATGAGATGCCATCCACAGAAAAGGTCCAGAAAGAATCTCTGCATCTAATGTCAGTCTCCACCAATTCCATCTGTGTCAATATTGAAGCATTTGCCATGGTATGTTCGACACAGTTTAGTAAGTGATTTTAATGTGAAATACTTAGAATGCTAGGTGGCATTTGGCAGGGTTGATATTTAAGTATTAGTTACGTATATGTTGATGAATAGAGAGATGAGTGTCTGTCAAGGGAGAAGCATCTAGAGTACAAGTGCTGTGTGCATTTCACGTTGACCATGGAAATCTGGACGTACAGGGGAAATTTTAAAAGCCATATTGCTCAAAGTGAGGATGAGAGAGTGTTCTCGCCAAAGGGGCCCTTGGCCTTAAGTGGAGAGGGCATCCTAGGAGTGGGTTTTCCTTGTCACCTAGCTGAATTTTGCAAATGTGGTACATTTTCTTTCCAGTGAAAAAATAAACAAGGATAAGGGAAAATGTTTGGAAGATGAAGCTTTAAAAATAACAACTCATAGCCAAAATAGAGAAATGTTCCTTTCTCAGTATAAAGTCTCTGTTTACTTAGCAGACTGCACACCAGCAGGGAGGATGTCTTGGTGTGGGAGGAAGCCTGCCTTCACCTGCTGTGCGCAAAAGTTCAGTTCAGAAACCGAGAAAGTAGAGTCTGAACAATTTTCCTTTCTTCTCGTCCTTTTTCAACAGTCTCCCACATTTTCTGATGAAGGAAAATGCCGGAATCGTTCTTAACTCTTCCAGCAAAGGTGGATTTTTCTGCACTCTCTTTTCTCTGAATATCCTGCTTATCCCCATTAGCAATTATTATCTGCAGACATAATGCTGACTCTGCAGTATTCATTAGAATACTGATGGGGCATACCCCCAATTCTCAGTTCAGTTCTCCCCTGGAGTGTGTGTGTATTCCTTTAGGGATGTGGAGAGGGCATGCATTGAGCGGCAATCACAGGGCATGAGAGGAGGTCCCTGGAGTCTCCTTTCATGTGAATATAGGTGCTCCACATTCTGGTGCATGAGTCTGAGACACGCACTCTAAGACAGGCACTTGTCTTCTGTCTGGTGCAAAGAAACTCTCACTGTGGGTTGAGGTCAGAGCCCCGTCAAAATATCCTGCACCAACTTCAAGGAGCAAATCAGATGAGAGCATTTAACTCAGTTTTTCGAAGAAGTGAATGTATCCACAGCATCAAAAAGGGGAGGGCGGTGCTGAAAATCTGGAGGTAACATTACTGAAAGACAAGATTAGTGTAAATCCATGGAGGTGCTCCTGAGGCTGAGAAACACACAGGTTGTGGAAAAAACAAGATGTATTTTAAAGGAATCACAGCGCCAGTCATAGATCAAAAGCAACAGTTTACCAAGCSGACCAGCCCATGACTCCCACTGTGAGACGTGACAGCCTGCCATGACTAACTCCTTCGCAGATTATATCAGGCAGCTTTTCAGAACACCTCGAAATCCCCTTGTGGGGAACCTTGTTCTGCCACTGACCCTCTTCAAATGCGGCCCATTGTCACTTAAGTAATGAGAGAAGGAACAGGGCTTGAAAGAGCTCAGAGCAGGTCTTGGATACTTCTCTATAAAAGTGAAATCCTGTTTTTCAGAAGCTTCAAGTTCCTCTTCTTCCCCATGGGAAGGAAATAGAGATGTCTAATAATCAAATCTTTTATATCTTCAAAATATGCTTTACAAACTGTAATGTTACCCATCAGCCTCTCTTGCATGTAAGGAATTAGAGAAATAGAAACCAAGAAAACCCAGATCAGCGTAGGACATTCAATGAAAAATAGCACAATATGGTTAGAAAACAGTTACAAATTAGATACTGTATAAAATCAACAGTGGTAAGATCAGTCATATTGGAAGAACTTGACTTCAAAAATATTTATAGGATCATGAGRTTTGCATCTACAACTCTGAAGCATAGAAAGAAGAACTGAAAATGGCAACTTGTAAGCAATATATCTTAAAAGATGCAATTTTTAACAAGTGATTTAGGCTCTGTATCCCAGAGCCTATATGGGTTCAAATCTTGATATCACTACTTAGGAAGCATGTGACCATGAATCTGTGACTTTATTTCACTACTTGTTTCTGAATGAAAGGAGAAACAGAATCACCCATATTGGAATGTAAGTTGAATTAAAAAAGTAAAGAAGCCATTGGGGAATGATGATTCTGATACAGCAGTTAGATCATGGAGGAGAGAGAGATGGGTGCCGGAAGTGGAAATACTGCTATAAAAAAATGTTTAAATGTTTACTTCCTGAGTGCTGGGTAGTAAGGAAATAGATACTGCAGCAAGCTCCGGAACCCTGCTACAACATCATAAAACATCTGCAAAA